TAGTGGAATGCGCACCGAAAGCTTTTTGGACTACCACACTACAGTGCGTACCAAAAGTATGTGGACACCCTAGAATCGATTCTCAGGAGTCAGCTAAAGGCTTTTATGTTATGAAACCTTCACCATTCAACTCCTAGTGGTCGATAACCTACAATGACATTTCGGCAAAAGATTTCGTTCTAACTTAGCGAACTATTTTTCATGGAAAGTTTTTTCTTTGTATCAAAATTATGTGGACACCCTGAGGCAGATGAAGTTTTTGCATCGATTTCCTAACCTATTTTTACTTCTCCTTTCGTTACTTATTCTGGCATCATTCCTCTTCACGGCAAGCGTTTTTCTGAAGAAGACCGAGCACAGAAATGGGATCCCCATGCTTCTGAACCTTCCTATTGCGAAATAGCACGTCAACCAGTCATGCGTCCTCGTAGGTTTGGAGAGAAATCCGAAATCCTGATGCTAAGCTCTCGACCTTGACTGAGGGTTGTTCTCAATCGCTACTTGTTCAAAACAGCAGAAGAATAGCCTTAATTTTCTCAAATTTTTCTTTTCGTACTACTCAACTTTACGCATAAATGATCTTCCCGATCTTAAAAAAGACCAATCGGTGTCTCATTCAATCAATTGAGCACACGACACGAAAGAAGATGAAGAAGGCTTTGTATATGAATGCGGGTTCAGGTTGGCAAGGTTGGAATTCCCACTCAAAAAAGGATCACAACATGATACTTTGAACCCACACAGACAGTGCTTTCGTGGAAATGGTAAAATTAGTATAAAAGACTTTCTGTGGAAATTTCTCTCATAGACCAACTCGACTGGCAGAAAGAAGCTTATTCCTTACTATTCGGGTGGGTCTTGAGGTTTTTGGAGAGACTTTGGTCGGACCCGCAGATGTGCTCGAAGAGACAATTCGGAAGATGTTCATCAAAGGTCTGGGGTGGTTCCAAAAGGGGGGACATTGAAGTTTGGCTTGCCAACATGTCAGGTAGACGACTAGGATTATAATGAGGTGCTTGAGTCCCGGCTACAACCTTTTTCGAAAAGTCATGGTTGCAAATCACTTGTTTTGCAGGGGAGGTCCCTGACACCATTCCATTTGGAAAAATGCTAAACGCAACGGCTTTGATTGGCAAGTCGGCTAGCGTATTCCTCAGACTTCATCCTTATTGAAAACGTAGAGGTATCGTGGTTCGCGGTCTCTACGTCATTGAACAAAAGAGTAATATCACAAGTGACCTAACACGTCGGTGAAATTTGCTAGTTGGGAACAGATCTGCAAGACATGTATCCAGACCCCATTCATAGCATGCCAAACAGAATGGCTCAACTTACTAGAAACTTTGGTAGGCCTACCGATTTCAGATTCTGAAGATATTGCCGTTTTTCAAAAAGTGTCCACATAATTTTGATACAAAGAAAAAACTTTCCATGAAAAATAGTTCGCTAAGTTAGAACGAAATCTTTTGCCGAAAATATCATTGTAGGTTATCGACCACTAGGAGTTGAATGGTGGAGGTTTCATGACATAAAAGCCTTTAGCTGACCTCTGAGAATCGATTCCAGGGTGTCCACATACTTTTGGTACGCACTGTAGTATGAGCTTCGAAGTGCAACTCGGTACTTAGGAGGACTCAAGATCGTGAACGCTTCCAGAAACGCGCACTTCTACATTATAGAAAACGTATGGTATCCTGTACGCCTTCCCGAAGTGGAGCGCCATTGTCTTATCGAGGTTTACAGGTATTCCCATGCCATGGCCCATTCCATCATGTTGAGAATGGATTGAGTCAAGGCCTGGTGAGTACACTCTTTAGTGTTCGTGAATACCATAAACTCTTATTTCATCTGCGTACATTTGAACTTTTACACAGGGGAGTGTGATGTGATCAGACGGCTAGGCAATCATAATCTGTACGCAAGGAACAACAGTGGTGACAGCACACCTTGTGGAACACCGCTAGTACATAAGGCCTGGAAAAAGCGTTGCCGACTTTGACGCACACGCGCCTATCTCATCTATCACATATTGAGTAAGCGTATATCGAATCAAAAATGGAACCGCTAACACCCAGATGACGTAATTTCACCACAAGCTTACAAATATTCACTTTATCAAAAGCTGTAGATAAATCAAAGTAGATAACATCAACGTCTTGACCTCTGTCGAGAGCCATACTTCGAACAAAACGCAATCAGTCATTAGGGTGCATGTGGAAGCACCGCCACAAATCCGTATTGTTCCAAAGGGATCAGCATGTTCTTGCTGAAGCGCGTTGCAAGTTTATCACGTATGAAATTAGTTTTCAGTTTATCACGTCTTTCCAAATGCACGGGACATTAGAGAACATAACTGATGCATTCAGTACCACACAAATAGGTTTATACAAGGACCACGCAAAATTCTTACAAACAATTTGTGGAATATGATCTCGAATAACATTGTGCAGCGAGTGACCAAGATGTTATCAGGGGTTTAGCCATGGGCCGACGGTTAGCACCTGCGTTAGCCATAGCCTATATGTCGAAGATAGAAAAGCCCGTGCTTGACCGTCGGCCTATCCTATATTGCCGATATATAGACGACTGCTTCATCGTCTGTTCGTCTGCGAAGGAAATGGATACGTGCTTCGACCTTCTCAACAATCAAGCGGACAATATTAAATTCACAAGGGAGAAACCCAAGAACAAGTGGTTACCCTTCTTAAACGTCCAGATTCAGCTTGAACGAGGGTTTTACAGGACCAAATGGTACCGGAAACCCAGCAACAAGAATATCATAGTCCATTTCCTATCAGCACATCCGTCAAAGACCAAACAGGCAATCACGAACAACATGTTCAAGACAGCAAAGGCAGTCGCATCAGAAAAACAAGAAAAAGAAGAATCAATAAGACTCGCCAAGGAAATAGCGGGTCTCGAATGGTTACCCCCAAAATCATCGATCCTACTTGGACCACCCAGTAGGAGATACACGGTCAGACAAGTGATGAAGCCTCGGACAAGGTTCATTCTGTGTACCCTTGAGTGTCGTGATAGAGATCAGTTTGGGCCCAGTGCGCAGAGCTGGTAGGTGTGATCTAAACGTGAGCTCTGCGAGTGGTACGCCTGGTGAAATCCTCCCAACTTAAGCAGAACTAGTTCGTAACGCGGTTACGAGTCGCACTGGGTTCTCCCATTGCTTATCGTCCTACAGGGCGGGAAAGGGGATTCTGGATGATCACAGAGTGTGATGCTACCTGAATCACATGCAGAAGCTTGCGGGGGCGATACATCGGGAAAGCTGGGGCTGTGCGCCAGGGTCAAGGAACACCTGGACGGACTGAAAAGATCAATACCAGGGACCCCCCTGGGTGCCCACCGACTGCAGTACCATGGAGGCGCAGAGTTTGAGGTGACTGTAAGGATTTTGATGACCGAACCGCAGACCCCAGCCCGCAAGACTCTCGAGGCCTTTTGGATAAACGCAAAAAGTCCTAACATGAATAGGAAGGATGAGTGCCTCGCCATTACAAATGAACTCGCGCCATTCCTCGACCTATGCGGGCTTCGATCGCCAACGGCTTCAAGCCGACGGGTCAGGTCACCTGAAGCCACCCACCGAAGTCAGATTAGCGGTGGTCGTAACACTACCCGGTCGTGCAACTAAGGTGAGTCCTACGAGTGTTGGTGATTTGCGACGCCCATCTAGATGCCTTTAGTCTAGGATGAATTGTTTTGAATTCTGAAATGGTGTTTGGAGGTTAGGTCGCACTTATCTTTGACTTTCCAGGCTCTGACGAAGGCGACGAGGCCGAAACGTAAGCCTAATAAAGTGATTATAACATCTTGGTCACAGCTGCACAATTATTCGAGATCATATCGTCAACATGCCAAGATTTATCGAAAGTCGCACATGGATTTGTGGAATACTATGGTGATGAACATGAGCTTTTGAGTGACATTAGAACCCTGTACACTTCTTTGGGGACTATCGTGATTTTGGAAAAAGAACGAAGGCTCTGAGTGGGTGTTCTCAATGGCTTCCACTGAACGTGCTGTGGAAGTAGTATAAACTGACGCGAAGAAACTTGCAAGCGCTTCAGCTTTCTGGACATTAGGCATGGACTACCAGCATCACTTTGCAGTACTGGTATGTTTGGCTGCGGCCTCATTCTACTTTTGATGAGAGCAAACAAAGTTTTCCTATGTGCACTGGAAGATAGGCGTTTTTCTCTGGATGCCTAGAAATCTACGTATGTGATAATCTAGTTCACTGCAGGTTCGCTTGTAAAGGGGAATGGACAGAGGGGAGTCATGCAATTTTTTGAACAGTCTGGATTTTTGAGCCATCAGATTGTATATGTGCTTCGGGTATCGTATCCTGGGTACCTCCATAGACTCAAAAGGCACATGCGCAGCCAAAGCAGCATACAAAATACGGCAAAATCTTTTATACAGGTCGTCCACAGAATGATATCTCTCGAAGGCACCCCCCCCCATGCGGCGAAACAGAAACCTCGAAAGAAACAACGTCGTGGTCGGACGTAGCAAAGGGTGGACCTACATGTGAATTTTAGACGAGTGGGGTATTAGCCAGCACTAGATCCAGAACTGATTCACCACGTGTTGGCTGGGGTACATGTTGAACATGATTATCATTCCTCGTGCTCCCCATGAGCAGTGGTATTCGAACGAATCTGCTGCAAATTTCTACTCTTATGTTATTCGCTTTCTATAACTTTACGGCTTGGTATTCCTATACTAAACATTTATATTTCAATAGTGGCGTACAGTGGAAAGGTTTGAAAAGTTGAATTCTTCATAGATTGATTTTCGATTATCGCCTTAATAGGTTTCTGATCAAAACGGTAGACACTATGGCGCAGACTAGATCGCGTGGACGACAAGGCAGTAAACTCAGGAAACACAGAGTGCTGTATCTTCTGGTAACTGTCCATCAGAATCTGATATTGCAGGCATGTCTCTGAATGAGATAGTTGCAGTTATGATCGAAGGAAATGAGCATATCAAGGACCCGATCACAGACAAGTATATAAATGCTCTTGTGTCAAAACTGCCCCAAAGTTGTTGCTGATGCTGTTGAGGAGAACGCGTGGGCGCAGCTTGGTTTTATCAGCAATCTCCTAGTCCGCTGCCGGCCTTCCGCCCTCCGTCAAGTAAGAAGAGGTTTGAGCTAAGGTGACAGAAGTACTTGACTTGCTGCGCGTGGAGTGCAAGTCAGTTGAGGTTAACCTCCATAGGTAAAACCAGTGGCTTGCATCTACGTCTAGTGAAGCTGCTGCTACCGTCCAAAAGTCATTTGAGCACAGCTCTATCGAACAGCTACCGTTTGCGCGGCTCAAGCTTTAAAAATATCTTCGTGCGCAAAAGCATGACCACAGAAGAGCGCAGTCGTGAGCTCTTCGGTAAGAGTGTAAGGCGCGCAATGACCAACTTGGCAACCGTGTTTAAATCGCCCGTGGTGAGTTAAGGCGTGCCGATGAGCTTCCCCAAGCACAAACGTCGGGAAACGCCTAACGCAGCACGAAACACCAACAGAGATAAGAAGTTTTCTCCTAGAGCCAAGAAGCCTAATTAACAGACTCCATCACCTCCATTCTTTAGGTTACAGCCAGGGTCAACCCTGCGTTGCGCAAAGAACAACGAGGGGGTCGTATTCAGCCGACCGAAAAGGGAGGGGGTCGTATCCACAGACGGGCTGCAAGACGGCTTGAAAAGTGCAGTGTCCGGGAGTGCACTTTCAGCCTCTAATGTTCTCCAGGAGCTCTGCACGCTGTCGGAGAGTCACACAGACATGAGCTCCATGGGAGCATTAAAGCATGCAGAGCACTATAAGTCTCACCATCAGCTTATTATCCTTAATCGACGCTATCCGGACGGCGCTTTTGCTCCGCGGCATAGAGTACAATAGACAATAGCCAAAACTTTGTTACAGTGTAGTGCAAAAACATGGTCTGTCTTCGATGATGAAACATTCCTGAAATCCCGAGGAGAACAAAGTGTAGAGCAGTTCATGGGAAAGTGAAACAAGAGTGCCATATAACAGCACAATACAACTCAATCAGGATACTAACACCTTCTTCAGGAAAACAGAAGACTTTCAAATGCGAGTGCGAGATAGCCCACACGTCGTATAACCCAGAGCGGCTTTTCCCCGTAAAGAACGCCCTCCTCTTCTTAGCGGCCGTCACAAACAACTTCTGAAAGAGGGTTTGAATGCTCTTCAAACATAAAATCTAAAGTCGGAAACAAAGCTGCGGCGCATTTCCGAATTGAGTCTAGATACGTTCGTACTGAACATGGAGGAATGAAGAAAGGAATTCAAGACAAATTTCAGCGAGTTGTTATGTACAGTATCTTCTTCGCATGGATTCGCAATCACATCTACACAATCTTTACCGCTTCTCATCACATTAATTTCAAAGGAAGTTATGGGCCTTTAAAGACTGCATAGTCGCGGTCCAGGAAAAAGGCTTGAAAAAAATCAAGGTGGAATTGACGGAACAACGGGACTATTTTTTGAGCGAGTGATTATTTCAAGAAGTTTTAGCACTTATTCGAAAGCTCTAATCCTCTAGTTTCTAATTAGCCTTAGACATCTGCAAAAAGTTGATTATGAAGAAAGTTATGAATGTTTGAATGTCAAAAACTCGCGTGTGCACAGAAAACGGAACAACGGGACGATTTTTTGAAATATTGAACATCCACAACATTTCAAATACTCCTCAGGAAGAAAACTATTTATATTTTCAAAATTTTGGTGTCCGATTTCATGAAACAGCTTCTGAAAGAAAATATAACCTTCTGAATGGAGGGGTTTGGATTGCAATGTAATTGCTACAAGGTTTAGTTTTTCAGATTATAAGGTAAGGAAAGTTGAGAGATCGAAAAAATCCTGGTGGGTTTCTGAAAGTAGAAATCTTTACGATTAAAATGATGTATTGGTTTACGCAAAAATTTGGAAATTCCTTCTATTTAATGAATAAAACTTCATTTGCCTCGATTTCCTCCTCTGAGCGAGACAGAGCGCGCGGATTGACCACGGTCCACCACTTCTCCATGTTGGTGACTGCCATCATTGATGAGCATTAAATTATGTGAAAGACATGATAGTTAATATGGGGGTCGATAACCTCCCGAAAAGGAAGGGGGTCGTAAAAATTTGGGAATTTGCGCAACGCAGGGTTGACCCTGGTTACAGCACTAAGGCATCTCCAGAGACTTTTAACTACCGAGAATATAGAGTTTGGATCCACATGTCTCTCGAGCTTCATCTATTGCCCCAACACCATCTGGTATCATCATACTTTCTATGATTATTCATTGGCCCATCCATATACCATTCTCGAAAGTATGAGGTTGGTTTCAAAATGACTGACGCTTTTTGGGATGTGCAGCAGAATATTTGAATAATTCCGCAGTTCGAGCTGCAGCCTTAGAACCGTAGCCTGCGGTCTTAATCATAGCTACTCAGATCTCACTGCATATCAACATATCATAACTTAGCTATAGTCGTGCAATACTTCACATCTACTGCACGATGAATTTCTCAAAGAATTACTGTGGTCTTCGTTCGGGAACTAGCACTGTGCGACGTTCGGAAATTTGTACTCTATGACGGCCAGTTTCTCACTTGCACACGCGTTGCTTTCTCTAGTAAAGACAATTAAGCGGATTCTATCAGAACTGTTTTAGCGGCCGAGTCGAATATTTCCATGTCTCGCCTCGCATCTTCATGGGTGATTTTTCCGGGTGCTCAGATTGACCGCCGTCTAGCGAGGTTCGTAATCGTCGTATTCTTTGCCGCCGATGCAGCGCATGGTCTGAAGAAATTATTCTTCTGTGAATATTTGCAGTAAACGTGTTCGGTGAGGGAACGAAATTTTGATTTTTGAAACTGAAAAATTGAATTGAATTGATAAAAATTTTCCAATACACAACTGCGTTCCATAACATTATAGTCACCTGTACAACTGCTACAAATGACAATGTTTGGTTTTTTTTGTTTCAATATGCAATGCTATATGTCACTTACTCTGATGGCTCTCTGATGCCGCTCAACCAGCCGAGATGGAATGGGGTGGGGGGCGTGCTCACGACCGCAGCTCTCGAACAGTGCCAACTGATACGCTTTGATGTCACCGAGCGGAGCGAGATGGGAGGCTGGGCCTCACTGACCGCCGATAAGTGGTAGTGACTCATCGTAGTACGCGAAGAGCGCATATTTTCGCAACATACCAGCATTGTTTACGTGAGACTTCAATTAACTCCGCATTCTTTCAGACAAACATCGATCCCGGTGACCCCGGCCGAGGGGTATAAATAGCGAGAGCTTTCCTCAGTCGGGGCTCATTGCCATAGTGGCTCAATCGTCTTCCGACTCCATCTGGTCATCTCCGGCACTTCACCTTCAATACCCAATATCCGGCATCGATCAATACAATCAATATCCGGCGGCTACCAATATCAACATCCAATATTCGGACGGCAGATTTGATTGTTAGTGTTCGGTTAGATTAATAAATATCTAGACTGAGCTGTGCACTATAGCACTTCAGAGGTTCAATTCCGCGTGGCAACTCGTAAAAGAGTTTTGGCGAGCTACCTCACCGCACAATACCGGACACAGCGCATCACCACCCAAACCACCCCATATTTTTGCATCGGCCATCTACGAATACAGAATGGTTAATTCTTTCTTACCGGAAACTTGAGCGGTTGTTTTTGCATTTACATCACAACCGCATTCTTTTTCTCTTTTCTACTCCACTAACTCTTCCAATATCTGAGTTCTTCTTCATCAATATCGCCCCATTATCTCAATATCGTGGAGCAATACTTGGTGGACAATAAGGGAACTCAATATTTCTCGAAGCGAAACCTTCACAGCAAACGTTTTCGAGGGGATTCAATTTGCTAGACAAGGATGTCTACTCTGCTCAGCACCAAGAAACGTCTTTTAACGAACGGTGTCAATAAACTCGAGCACATTCTCATTAGCCTCAAGCAGGATAAACTTGAGGACAACTTCTTTGGATCCCAATTTATCTCATAATGTTCATCTGGAGAACATTCAAGCACTGGAAGAGAGTATCAAAGCCATAGAACTCACAATGGCAAAAGTGGAAAAAGCCCTTGACGGGTTAGCGTCAGCATTCGACAGCACCCATGGCTCCGGTAATGAACCCAGCGACTTCGAAGAATATGCCAGCAAAAGTGAGACTGTTCTCAATGCTGCATTCGACTACCTGATTCTTTTGCAAGCACGGCTTCAACCGGCTCAATCCTTGGTGCCCCACGCTATATTCCACTTCTCAGCAGAAATCCACCTCATTGTCACCGCGCAACAGGCAAAAGTCCAAGACTAGACTTCCGCCATCCTATACGCCTACTTGGAGGAAATATGGGATATGGACAATTCGGGGAATCTTCAATACCCCAATCTTCATTTCTCATGATGTACCGGATATGGCCAGTTACAACAGAACTTCTGAATCTCTCAGCAAGGAGAAACCATATGAAATCAATAAGGAAAGGAAATTCCAGGTCACGAGCATCAACCACAGAAAGCAATAAACTGATTCTTCATAATAATACAAAAAAGGGAAACTTTGCACCCCATAAGAAACTGGATCACTGTTCCCTACGTGGGCTATCCATCAAGGATCAACGCCATCTTCTGGAAGAACTGCAGGTTATCATAACACAATTGGAAGAGAAAGGGAAAGAAGTCAATAATTCTTGGCTTATCAACAAAGTCTTGTGCAAATTCCCTGATTCACTCAAGTCTCCTATGAAATGTGCGTTCTGTGAGAGGAGAGGAGCACACTTCTCAGACTCTGTCCCGATGTCCAAGAAGGCCACCGACGACGTCGCATAGTACGCAAGAGCAAAAGTTTCTAACTGCCTGAAATGTGTAGATTTGAACGACACTGGAGAAAGAGAAATGATGGTACTGTTCAGTAGTTGAAAACACGATATTACACTTCCTCATCCCGCGAGACGACTGGCATCATCGCGCTTTGTGCACTGTACCAAACTCCAAAGATAAGGTAAGGGATGCCATCGAAGAGGTGAGACAAGAATTATATATATTTCAAGAGATTACATCAGCTTGTGCCTCCGGATGTACACCGCTACAAATTTCAGTTGTGTTTTTGTTTCTTTGTTTCATTATGGCAGTATCAACCTGTACACTGGATTGCTCTTTGATGCCGTTAACCAGCCGAGATGGAAGGCGTGGCTCATCGACCGCAGCTTCGACAGTGCCACTGATCGTTCTTTGATGTCACCGAGCGGAGCGAGATGGGAGGCTGGGCCTCACTGACCGCCGATAAGTGGTAGTGACTCATCGTAGTACGCGAAGAGCGCATATTTTCGCAACATACCAGCATTGTTTACGTGAGACTTCAATTAACTCCGCATTCTTTCAGACAAACATCGATCCCGGTGACCCCGGCC